GTCTTTTGTAATTTTAGCTTCAATTTGGCCATCAGTAGATGGTGATCTGAGGCCACATTAGCTCCTCTGTATATTTTAACATCCTGTAAGGATCATCTAAATTGTTGATTAATGCAGAAGTGGTTGATCTGATTCTGTGTTTGATAATTGGGGGATATCCATGTTGTTTTATAGATGTTCTTATGTGGAAAAACATTTCCTCCTAGAATAAGTTGGTTAACTGCACAAAAGTTAGCAAACATTGCTCCATTTTCATTCATAACTCCTAGCCCATGCTTCCCCATAGTCTCTTCATATCCTGTGTTATCATCTCCTACTTTGGCATTAAAATTGCCCATGACTACGATGTCTTTGGTTTTGTCTTGTCAAGCACATGCTGTAGTCTGTTATAAAATTCTTCTTTTATTAATTCTTCTTTATCATTTGTCAGTGCATAACACTGAATGCAATGCATATTAATTTTCCTGTTTATGGTCCTGAATGTTGCAAGGATACTTCTTGGCCCTGCAGGTTCCCATGGTATAAGAGCTTTATGTGCCTCTGGTGACAGCAAGAGTGCAACCCCCTCCGTATGTGGTGCATTTTCCTCTTCATGGCCTGAGTAGAGCACTATTTCCCCTGATGAAACTTGTACCTTACCTGACTGTACCCATCTTGTCTCACTAATTCCCATGATGTTTAGCTTGTACTTGTTCATTTCTCTTACTACCTGGGCTGTCTTACCTACTTCCCACATTGTTCGCACATTCCAGGTGCCTATTCTGGAAATTTTTCTTGCTGAAAGAAGAGGAATCGGCAGTTCAGTATCCTTTCGGGTTTGGCTGCCCTGCATCGTCATTCCTCATGAGGCTGGCTTGCTATTCAAATTGAAATTGTTTATATTTTTATATAATATGTTTATTTTTACAGGATGGGGTTGCCTACGACATTCTTGGAAGGATACAGAGATCCTAGTCTTACTTCCCCGTAGGGCCTTGGGAACCTACTGATCTAGAATTTGTATAAAGGAAGCGTCATCTTAAGTTTTTCTGCATTCCTCCATCTGTACAAAAATTTTAACACAAACATATGGCAACATGTGTAAATGAATATTTTTTGTTTGTTTTTATGTGCAGGAACAGCATTGATCTGTCATGGTCTGTTGGTAATTAGAGGAATACAGTTAGCTGTCCACAGACCTCCATTATAATTATTCTTCCGTTAGATCTTGATGGAATAGTGAATTGATCACATTTAAGATTATAAAAATGAAGCCAAAGGAGCAAAAATATTTCAAATAAAACCCTAGTAGTAGTATTTCTACAATTCTTCACTCTTATTCTCCCTCCCTTAGTAATTATGTAGCTGATTCTTGCAGTTCTCCTCTGTGAAGTACTTAGAGATGTCTTGTATTTCAGCATTAGTATTCCTTGTATCAGACTCTTTCTCAGTAATGGCATGCTAGTTTAAATAATAGAAATAGACACATTGTGAGTAATATACACTAACTCTTCCCCCATGCTATAAGAAATAGGTCTCACCAATTTGATAATGTAACAGTCATGGTGTTCTCTGTATTGATACATTTATAGAATTGCAGGCATTTTATAAACAATGCTCTCTCTGTTTGTCAGACTTCAAAAAATTAATGGTCGTGTTTAGGCTTTTATGCTAATTCAGTCAGGTATGTCTCCTCTATCTTGGTAGGAAGGGATTCCGTGCAATCTTACAGGTGACTTTTTCTTTATGTGATTGCAAGGTAACATAAAACAAAACAGAATGGTCTATGCAGGCATGTTTGGTTTTCAGTTTGCTTTTAGGCCCATTCCTGTAATATTTTTGTCATGTGGACCAAAAACCAGGCTTTTAAAAAATTAATTAGTACAAACATAGATGTAAATCTTCCATCTAAAGCAGCTATGCCAAAAGTGGCCTACCAAAAGAAAAACATTTACTGCTATTTTTTATTATTTATAATGTGTAAAGAAAGAGAAGGTGAGTTACTTTAATTCTTAGAACTCAGGAATATCAAGTCTTGTTTCTGTTTTAGTCAGAGAGTCAAAGAATTGGGAGCTGTCTCAATTCTCAGACAAAGGAGCAGTGCTGTCTGAATCTTAAGCATAAAGTACTTTCTCCCAAGTGTCTGTCCAAAGTTTGAATTAAATAAGAACATAAGAATGGCCGTACTGGGTCAGACCAAAGGTCCATCTAGCTCAGTAACCTGTCTGCCAGCATCAAGTGCCCCAGAGGGGGTGGACTGAAGACAGTGATCATGCGATTTGTCTTGTGCCATCCATCTCCAACCTCTGACAAACAGAGGCCAGGGACACCATTCGTACCCCCTGGCTAATAGCCTTTTATGGACCTAACCTCTATGAATTTATCTAGCTTCTCTTTAAACTCTGTTATAGTTCTAGCCTTCACAGCCTCCTCTGGCAAGGAGTTCCACAGGTTGACTATGCGCTGTGTGAAGAAGAACTTTTGCTTACTAGTTTTAAACCTGCTACCCATTAATTTAATTTGGTGTCATCTAGTCCTTATGTTATGGGAACTAATGAATAACTTTTCTTTATTCACCCTCTCCACACCACTCATGATTTTATATACCTCTATCATATCCCCCCTCAGTCTCCTCTTTTCCAAACTGAAAAGTCGCAGTCGCTTTAGCCTTTCTTCATATGAGACCTATTCCAAATAGATATTAACTAACACACAAGTTTTATACAGTCTGATTAAAAACCCTTCTCAGAAGTTCAAGATTTTAGTTTCTTAGCAGTTGAAGTGGCATCATCTCTAGGAGTTCAGCTGGCAATAAAACTGTCAAGCAAATAGGTTGCCAGGTGTCCAGTACAGTCCGGTATTTTTGCCTCCTGTCCGTTAAAAAAAATTCAGAAAATGCCAGACACCTAAAATGTCTGGTATTTTCTAATTTTTTCCCCCCTGCCAGGAGGCGAAAATCCTGTGTGCTTACCTGGTTCTGCAGGGGAGCTGTCTGGGCTGGAGCAGGAAGACAAGATGGTAGATGGCCACCAGCAACCTGTTAGGGCCAAAAAGCCTCAAAAGCGTTTCTTAAAGGGGGCCATGCTGTGTTTCTTAGTAACTCTTGGGGTCTTTTTTTTTTTGCTTAACAACTTTGGTCTCCCCCTTTTTCTCAACAGATTTTTTTCCCCGGTGTTTTTTCTTTTTTGGAGGGTGGGAGGGGAGTGTTTGGTATTTTTGGTTAAACCATCTGGCAACCCTACAAGCAAATGGGGATATAAAAACGATTTGTTTAACCGATTAACCACTGACCATGGGGAGGGGTCTGCTCTGCCTGACTTGCTGTGACTGTGGGCAGCGGGAGCTGCTCTGGCCCCATCAGACTGCTGGAGACCTACCAACTGGGCCACCATAGGCAGAAGGGGGAGCCTGCTCCCACCAGCTGGCCCTCTAGTTAACTGGTTAGCCGGTAAGCATACTTGTACATCCCTGCAAGCAAACTGTGGGGATAAACAGAACAAAAAAGGCAGAAATAATTTCCTTTGAAAAGTATGGGAGTGTGGGGTAGGAGCATCTTTTCATGTCTCTTCTAGAAGCAAGAAAGATACAACATATTCCTTTTCTTCACGGGGAACCTTTTAAGATTTGTATAGAATGCTGTAAAACATGTTCTGTAGTATCTATGTAGGTATTTGTACTGTGCTTATCACCATGGTATTCACATGCCTATTTTTTCTTCACAGCTGCTTTCTGCAGCCTTTCGTTCCCACTTCCCTTTTATTCCCCCAGTTTAAAAATTGGCTCTCTACACAGACTGGCTCCCACCTGCTGCCCTGTGTTGCAGCCTCTGATTCAGAAGCCACAGCGTGGGCTAGCAGTAGCCTGAACATGCCGCAGACAAAGGCTGCTTCGTGAGATGCTGGAGCAGCCTCTGTCTGTCGGAAACTCGCCCTCTCCCTTGGTCAGGAGCTGCTCCGTCTGCTACCCCCTGTGCAGCAGTGGGTGGGGGAGAGGGGCAGGCAATGGCATGGGATTTGGTGCTTGTGAGGAACCAGTCCGCCTGCCCCCGGCACTGAATGGGGGCAGTTCTGCAGGAACTGGCACGTAAGGGGAGCCAGCATAAAAACTGTCTCCCCACAGGCACCGGCTCCCACCTCCTCCCTCTGCTGCCTCTGATACGAGGGGGTGGAGGGTAGTCGTTTGGATTAATTGATAAGCCCAGGTATATCGGTTAATCATTTAAACGTATATGTGTTAATATCCCTACTAAGCAGCAATATGTTTTAGGATTCATACTAAACAAATATCTTTCCTTTTGTTGGAATAATTCTGCTTTCCCCTCTCGAGCTTTATAAGGCAGTCAAAGAATAATGGTATTACCATAAGAGGCATGCTCTGCCATCCTTTTGTGGCTGCCTAAATATAGAAATCATGCACTCCCTCTTCTGTAATGACACAGATTCCTATTCATTTACTTACTCCACTTAAATTATCCTATCTCTTGACATTGATTAGATTGCTGTGGGACATTTTTTCCACTCGTCCTAAAATAATTTATTTGGCAAGGCAGATGGAGTTGTTTCAGTTAAACTTAAAAGTGGGGCATGGGGGAACATTGTTGCAGGATTGTGGCCTAATTCTTCTATCCTTGTTTCACTCTTATTGTTGGCACTGACCGATTCATGCTATGCTGCTCATTAGTTGCATTCCATTTTTCAAGTATTGTTTGGTGTAAATTTAAGAAACACTTACTTATTTTACAAAAACTATCACAAGGCTTGGGACAAGCCAGCAAATGATAGCTAACTCACATTTCCGCAAACACAAACTGTGAGCTGCATGAAATTTGCCTACATCTCAAGAGCATCTTCACCTCAGCAGGTTGTCAATTTTATTGTATTTCTCATAATTGATGCATATTGTTCCTAAAATGTGTTAGTGTCCAACTTATTTTTCACATTTCTTTTTGTAGTCAGGAGGAATACTGTCATAGATTATTGACTCTGCAAAATAATGTATCAATTCTCATCTGTTTCTTCTAGGTTCATGCTTACATTATAAGCCATCTAAGGAAGGAAATGCCATCTGTATTTGGAAAAGAGGCCAAGAAGAGGGAACTGATCAGCAGGTTACCTGAAATCTATATCCAACTGCAACGAGAGCACCATATCTCACCAGGGGACTTCCCAGAGGTCAAGAAAATGCAGGTATATTAACTCAAATCAAAGTTAATTTATACCCTGGCAATCAAACAGTGGCTTCTGACAGTCCTGGTAAATGTAGGAATATGACAGTGCCTCTCATAATGTTTGTAATTGTAGGCAGTGTCAACAAATTGTCAGAAATTGATAACAATTAAAAATTTAGTGCTGTGTCTTTTACTATATTATTGTGAGTTAAGATCACAGTAATGAAAACAATGGATTAATAAGGAAAAAGAATCCTAAACTCAATATGGTCCACAATTTGATCTGAGGAAGTGGGTCTGGCCCATGAAAGCTCATCACCTAATAAACCATCTTGTTAGTCTTTAAAGTGCTACATAATTCTGTCTTTTGTTTCACCTAAACTCATAGTAATAGAACATATGAAATTTTTTTAATGGCCCTGGGCTGTACCAGGAGAGGCAGGGCTTCAAGAGGAAGGGGCAGGGCCAGGATACTTCCTTGCTTCCCCACCCACAGACCCCCCCCCACCTGAGGTCCGCCTAGGCACCCATGCCCCTGGTAGTGGGAGGAGACTTTGCATGCTTCCCCTTCTGTCCCCAGGCCAGTCAGGGTTTGGGGACGGAGTAGTGTGCGAAGCTTCCCTCCGCCCTGCCAGGAGCACGTAGCACTTCTAATCTCCATGCGCTCCTCGCAGGGCGGGAACAGGACAGAGGAAACTTTGCACACTCCCCCACCCCCAAGGCCAATCAGGAAACTTGGTGCTCTTCCCCTCACCCCCAGGTCCTAATTGGCCTGGGGACAGGGGAGCGGCAGGGGGGCTGCAGGCCGGATCAACCTGCTTGGTGGTCCGGATCAGGCCTGCAGAGGCCCTTTTGCCCACTCCTGTGTTAGTATGTAAATATGAGTGCCTGATTTACTTTCTTTATACCATTCTGTATTGTGTCTAATTCTTGTATTTCTTGTATTTCTTCTTGACTCCCACAGTCCCGTTCATTTCAGAACCTGCTCATATTTCATTTCCTCTAATTTGTTTTCACCATGTGTGTCTGAGATTTCCTCAATTTCTGCTATCTCTGTGTTTGAGATGAGGTGACCAGAACTGAGTATGGTATTGCAAATAAGTGTGGACCATTGATGTATGTAATGGCAACATAATATTTTCAAAATGGCTTTTTGTCCTATCCTTTATACACTCTATTTTTGTTCGCTTTTGTTTTTACTACTATTGTGTATTGAGCAGAAATGTGTATTGAGCTCTCCACGATGATGTCCAAGACTTTCCTAAGAGGTTAGAGTTAACTTAGAAACCAGCAAGTTGTAAGAGCAGAAAGAAAAGAAAAACTCAAAATATAGTCCAGGATTTTTTGTACAGTGTAGGAATAATTAATCAGAAGGGAGAGGTGACTCCTTGAGGTGGTAGACTTTAAGGAAGGATTTATATAAAGAGAAGCAGGAGAGTACAGCTTCCTGTTTGCTATGCAGTCATTGATGATGGAATTAGGAAACAGGTAAATAAAGTAGAAAACTTGAGGCAGGCTTAGTATTTGAAGTGACTTGTATTTTCCTAAATCTCAGCAGCAGATGGCAGCAAAGTTGTGTTACAGCTAGCAGACTGAGTTGTGATCTTAATCTCTGCTTCCTGAAACTAAACTCATCAGTACAGACTTTGTAGCAGGTAATAGTAAATGAATTCCAGCTAAATACGTTTAAAAGAAACCAAGAGTCTTCTGGTCTTGCCAGTTTCCAAGTGTATAACTGATTTTATGTGCACAGACTTTTTCAGAAATTTGGGTCAGAACCATTAGATTCCAGAGTTTTGTGGAGCAGGGAAGCCTGAATCCATGATGTGTCAGAGCAATTTATCAGTGTTTGTCAGGTGGTTAGGGGGGAGAGTTATAGTGGAAAACTATTGTTTGTAGGTTGAAATTTAGATTTGTAAATTGAAATCTACCCCACTCCTGGATGTGCATATCTATGCCTCCCCAGATTCATATGGGGACATTGCTGCTATTCTCCTTCCTCACAGTCAGGGAGTGAGGGGAAAGAGCTCACTCTGACTACTAGAGACTGCAGGGGCAGATGAGCAGTGCACTTTGCTCTTCCCTGTCCTGTCAGGGAGCGAGAGCAAGCAGCCCTTATATGAATCTGAGTGAGGGGCTTTGTGTCTCTCCCCCTACCCCTTCATACCTCCTTGCACACCCAGCTCCCTGCCCTGAGCCCCAACTCACCTCCCAAGCCTGACTCCTGCACCCCCTGCATACCAACTCTTCTGCCCTCAGCCCCTTCATCTCCCACTCCTCTTGCCCTGAGACCCTACTCACCAACACACACCACCTACCCAGAGACCCTCCTCACCCTCCAACCTTGACTTCTGCAACCCTGCTCACACACCAACCCTCTGCCCTTAGCCACTCCTCAGCCTTGGTTCCTGCACCTTACTACACACCAGCCCCCTGCTCAGAGCCCCTCCTTTAGCGCCCACCTGATTCCTGAACCCCTGCCCTCAGTCCCTCCTCATCCCCCAACTTTGACTCCTGTACCCCCACACCTTGTGCTCCCTGCTCTGAGCCCCCCACATTTCCAAGCCCCTGTCCTGACTCCTGAACCCCACACTTCCCCACTCCCCACACTCCACCTCACACTTAAATTTCTTATAGGTACTGTTGTATCACAACCCCACCTCCCAACCTCCTGTTCTTAGAGCTTCCCCCAGGGGGAAGTGGTTGTGATACAGCATAACATGTAAGAAATGTGTTACTTTCACCCCGGACTGTACCAAGATGAGTCAGAAAAATAGGATGAATCTGCAAATAAAGGATTCAATAAATCTTATAGAGAAGACATAAAATGGAGAAATTTGGAGTAATGCTCCATTTTGGCACAGCTAAACCACTGCCTCAGGTTTGAAAAATCTTCCCAAACGTTAACAGCTAGGACCACCGAATTCAGTGTATAGTTGCCTCTTGTCATTACTTAAAGAAATATAAATGTTTGGTTGTGCCATGAAAATGGGATGTCCCTGGAATGGGATTGCTTCCCAGAAAACCAAACAGAAAAGAGACAGACTCACCAAATCAAGTACAGTCTTCAAAATTGATATAACTGAGTGAATGTTGAAGGGACTGAACCAAGATGAACCAGTAAAATAGGATGAACCTGGAATAGAGTTGTTTCTGAGAATGGAGTAGTCTTCTGTTTTGGCACAGTTAAATCAATGCATAATGTTTAAAAACTTATTGCAAACCAAATTGACAATAGTCCTTTTTGTTTAAAAAAAATAGCAAATGCTAAGAGTATATAGGGATGAGGGGGCGGCGGAGGAGGAGAAACATGATGGAATTCCCATCTAAAAAAACACTAAAACAAATTAATGGAAAAATTTAACAATCCCTTTTTTTTAAGAAATTCAAAATAAAAATGAACTTCCTAAAAATAACACCATACAATCATTTTAAATAAAGCATGTACATATTCCTTTTATTTAAAAAAAAATTCTTGAGTTATGGACCCAAGCAATGCAGGGTAAATGTACTAATTATGTATACATGAGACAGTTGGTATAATAAAAATTGCCTATGTATATTTTAGGGATGTAATAGTGTAGTCAGTTAACTGAGTAACCAATAAGCAGAATCTTATAGGTTAATGCTATAGACTACACGCATTCCTCCGCCCCACCCCACCCCACCCCACCCCAGTAAATTTTTTAGCAGGCTGGCCAGCAGCCTGGCTCAGTCCCGGTTTGTGCCAGCTCTGGGACCTACCCCTGCTGTGGCTCTGCATTTAAAGTGTAATAGGAGCCAGGCAGGCAGACAACCCAGCTCAGTTCCTACGCCTGCTGCGGTTCTGCATTTAAAGAGTATTTAGGAACTGGGCGGGCAGGCAAACTTGCTCAGCTCCAACTCACACCGGGGCTGGGAGGGGCGGGGGCTCCGCCCCCCCTGCCCTCCTGCCTCTATATCACAGGCAGCAGCGTGGAGGGACAGGCAGCCGGTGTGTGAGGGGAGCTGTTTTTTAAACTGGCTCCTCTCACAGACCAGCTCCCGCCTGGCATCCCACGCTGCTGCCTCTGATACAGCAGCTATAACATTAAAGATATAGCAAAAAACAGGAAAGTTCAGTGAACTTAGGTTTGACATTTAGTTCTTAATTCACCTGATAAGAAAAGTTTTTGAAAATGTACATTAGGGATGTGAAAGCCCAGTTAATCAGTTAACTGGTTAAACATGTTAACTGGTTAATCCCCTGTTAATCACATAACCAATTAAACAGGGGCAGGCGGGGGTGGGCCAGGGTAGGTCTTCTGTGACAGGGGGCTGCATCTGCCAGGCTGGAGTATCCAGGGCTGCCCCAGCCTTCTCTGGTTAACCATAATGGGTAAGCATCACCCAGTAAAGTTAACCATTCACATCCCTGTTATAAGTGTAATCAGTTATTTGAGTTGTGGAAGTTGGGGGTGGGAGAGAGTGGCAGGAAAGATAAGACTGGTTATAGGAAGGTTCTCCTTATAACTGGGGAAAGTGCTACTTTTTTTTCTTAAGTGCTATTTTTTTTCCTTAAAAAAATCAAGCCCTGACACTGCAAATATTTTGACATTTTAACCTTTCAGTGTGTTTGTGTTTGCAAGGTTGAGTCCTTACTGATGAAACTTTCTCTCCCTTTAAAATAATTCCTTATTATTTTTCAGATCTAAATATTTTCTTAAAAGGAATAATGTTAAATGGAAAACTATTAACTGACAGTTGTTTGTAAAATATTTGATTCTTGAGTAAGTGTTGTAAATGCAATTTAATAGGTAGGGTTCTATCAAATTCAGGGCCGTGGAAAACACATCACAGACTGTGAAAAGTGTGTGTGTGTGTGTGTGGGCGGGGGGGATTGCCAGGTTATTTTAGGGGGCGGTTGTGGTATTGCCACCGTTACTTCTGTGCTGCCTTCAGAGCTGGACAGCTGGAATGCGGCAGCTCTGAAATGGCGGCCGTACCATATCATGCCACACATACATCTGCACTGCTGTCTTCAGAGATGGGCAGCTGAAGAGTGACAGCTGCAGACTGGGAGCCCAGGGTTATAGGAAGGTTCTCCTTATAACTGGGGAAAGTGCTACTTTTTTTTCTTAAGTGCTATTTTTTTTCCTTAAAAAAATCAAGCCCTGACACTGCAAATATTTTGACATTTTAACCTTTCAGTGTGTTTGTGTTTGCAAGGTTGAGTCCTTACTGATGAAACTTTCTCTCCCTTTAAAATAATTCCTTATTATTTTTCAGATCTAAATATTTTCTTAAAAGGAATAATGTTAAATGGAAAACTATTAACTGACAGTTGTTTGTAAAATATTTGATTCTTGAGTAAGTGTTGTAAATGCAATTTAATAGGTAGGGTTCTATCAAATTCAGGGCCGTGGAAAACACATCACAGACTGTGAAAAGTGTGTGTGTGTGTGTGTGGGCGGGGGGGATTGCCAGGTTATTTTAGGGGGCGGTTGTGGTATTGCCACCGTTACTTCTGTGCTGCCTTCAGAGCTGGACAGCTGGAATGCGGCAGCTCTGAAGGCAGTTTTCTGTGAGCAGCAGCGCAGAATGGCGGCCGTACCATATCATGCCACACATACATCTGCACTGCTGTCTTCAGAGATGGGCAGCTGAAGAGTGACAGCTGCAGACTGAGAGCCCAGTTCTATAGGCAGCAGTGCAGAAGTAAAGGTATCAACACTATATCATGCCATCCTTACTTTTGCACTGTTGCTGCTTTTGGCTATGCCTTCAGAACTGGACTTCCAGCCAGCAGTTATCCTCTGAAGGTAGTGCTACCTTCTCCTACAGAGTTACAAAACTCTGAAATTCCAAAGTGAAATCTTGAATTTTACTATTTTAAAAATCCTATGGCCATGAATTTGGTAGGGACCTATTGATAAGAAAGGATATCATAGTGATTCATTGGAAAATTATGCTTACAATTTTTTATTTAAGGCTGATCAGTGTATGAGGGTATCTATATGAAATATAAAATTTTGTTTGTCTTTCAAGTGGGTTTAATTTTGAGTTTCTGCTCTGAGAACTGCCTCATGTTCTACTTCTGCAGACAGACGTCTAATGTGAAACAGTGACTTCAATAGAATCTGCTCTGAAACCTTCTATCAGTGAAACCTTTGACAAATGTTTTGTTTAGTCAATGTTGTGTGTGTTTTGTTATTGACAGGAACAGCTGGAGACCTGTGACTTCTCTAAATTTCATTCTCTGAAACCAAAGCTGATTGAAGCTGTGGATAACATGTTGGCCAATAGAATTGCTTCTCTAATGAGCCTGATGAGCCAGGAAGAGAGCAACATGCCTACACAGATGGTGCATGGTGGAGCTTTTGATGGCACCACAACAGGACCCTTTGGCCATGGATACGGGGAAGGTGCTGGGGAAGGAGTTGATGAAGATGAGTGGGTTGTTGCCAAAGATAAACCTGTATACGATGAGATCTTTTACACTCTGTCACCAATCAACGGCAAAATCTCTGGGGTCAATGCAAAGAAGGAAATGGTGAACTCCAAACTGCCAAACAGCGTCCTGGGGAAAATCTGGAAGCTTGCAGATTGTGATAATGACGGCATGTTGGATGAGGAGGAGTTTGCACTGGCAAAACATCTCATCAAGATTAAACTGGATGGGTATGAACTGCCTGGCATCCTACCACCTCATTTAGTGCCACCCTCACACAGGAAGCCTCTGCAGATGGCAGAATGAAAAACTCCAGCAGCAGATTAAGTGAGGAATGGAGGGAATTGTAAGCCCTCTGAATCTTTTTATAAATGAGTTGAAGCACTAAGGCTTGAAATTAGATTTAGAGGAAATCTTTAAATCACATATCAGATTTCACACAAGTTGCTGGACCCAGCAGCATAGTACAGGGGTTACTTATGTAATAGCTCCAGCTGACCTTCACTAAGACAGGTTTATCACAAGTGCCTTTTGTAACTAATTCCATACCTTTTATGGTTAAGAGAGCCAAGCTTTCTTTTAAAATCACCCTATTTATGTCTGATTGCATTTACCACCAAAAAGCAGAAAAGAATTGTCACACCTAAAATCATCTACCAAGCATGAATGCTTAGTAAATACAAAACTCCACAAACTGTTTAGCAAATGGAAGAAAGCTCTAATTTCAAACTTACCCATTTCTAGAAATCATAGCTTTGTTTAATAAAGATACCTTAGGTGCCTTTGTGAGTGTCAGCATCCCTAGCTTTAGAAAAGGCAAAAATACAAAGGGCCTTGTCTTCATGTTCTGCTGTTGATATTAATGATAACCTGTTTGAGTGAAGAGGGGCATGGGTAGAACTTTTGTAAGAATGCTCAGGACATGAGCAGAAAGTTAAGAATTTTTACCAGAGATTATTTTTAGAATCTGCAATATTTGAAGTTGTTTAAATCTGTCAGTTGTGCGATTGTAAACAGAAGAGATGTTTTCTTTTGCTTCATAAAAGAATGTGTAGCTGACTCCGTCTATGTAATATCATCAGCTAAAAAGATTTGGACGCCCACTGTGTTGGGGATGGGAATTTTCAAAATTTCTGTGTAGCTTCATCGGTGTATATTCGTGAACTGTAACACTGTATGGTCCTGCTACTTGGAAGCAAAGGAAGTCACGTGTTTTAGCAGAAACAGAAGCATTGCTTTCAATCATGGGAGAAGGGTGTATTGTATTACATTTCTTTTCAGGATAGTCAGTGTGCATATTCAGTTTGGCTTGATAAATTCTCTTGGGATTTACACTCAAAGTTTACAACCAATTATATGGGTATACTTACTTCAAATTATTTGTTTTATGTTCTTTGTTTCAGCAGAATTTTGAATTCTTTCTTTGTTAACAGAAAGCTGGCAAATGTAGAAAAGATGTTCTACTCCTACTGTAGCCTCATCTACAGAAAGTAAGCCATTAAGAAGCCAAGCCAACTTCCATTGAAATTAATGATACTCTTTCACAAAAGTTGGGTAGGCCCCTTAGAGCATTGTTAATTTATTAAAGAAACATTTGAAGGGAAAGAAGTGCACTAGCACTTCACCTCACCATCCTTCCCAGTTGTACAATCAAAAAAAAGTTGATCATGTGGGCACTGCACACCTCTATTTTCAGTGTTCCAGAGGAAAGTGATTCCCTCTAGCCCCATCTATTTTAATATGCTTTCACCCCAGAGAGGTAGAACAATTTCTTCCTGGCACCAAACTTGACAGTTAGTTTAGTCATATGTATGAGAATGAGAATCACCTTGGAATCCACATCTAACATAAAATACTATAGGTATCAAAAGTACTGTAGCTGTTAGCACTTTTTTTCCTTGAATCCAAGTAAAATGGATTGGAAGTATCTTCTGGGACTGATTAACCTGCTCGGTGAGGGAGGGACAATTTCCTGAGACTACGTAAGCAAATTCATTTAATCATGTCTGAATAGCAATGATATTATAACAGAATTTTCAGAATCGTTTATGGTTCATTGCTAACTTTGAGTACTCAGAATCTGACCTTCCAGTAATGTGTTGTACAGCATTCTTCCAGTTCTACAATGGCTATTTCGTGACTGTCGCTTGCTTACATGTATAATTTTCAGAAATTTCCATGTGTTAAGTATTTAAATGCTCTAAGAAATTTCTCCCCTACATATTCTCAAGTTTGAATAAATTCAAGCTCTTCAATTAGCCACTTACTTCAGATCTTTCAATACTTTTGATCAGTCTGGTAGCTGAGAATCTTATTGTTATTTTTTGCTGCAATTTAAAAATGTTTCCATCTTCACTACAACTAACATGTAATATGAAGGCTAAAGATGTACACAATATAAAAAATCCTCACCAAATGGAAACAAAAATTGTAATCCATCTTTATGCATAATTCTAGCTTATCACCAAAGTAAAGTCTTACATTATATATGCCAGTAAATATTTGTCCATTCTGATATCTGTGTGCTAATTGTAAGTATTACATTAGAAGGTTCTTTATTTAGTTGATTTAGGAGCCCCTAAGATAACACACAGTAATTTATTCACAAATGAGATCATAGATGCTGACTTCTGAGGCTGGAGCACCCATGGGGAAGAATTGGCAGCACCTGGCAGCAAAGCTCCCCCTGCACCTCTCACCCACTGATGGCCACGCTGGCCAACCCCTGCTCTCCTAGGATTCTGGAGTGATGCAAACATCGTGACGTTCAGGAAGCTCTGAGAGGGATGGGGGAAGGAGGCTGGGCAATGTCCTGGGAGAATGAATGGAATGGGGATGGGGTAGGGGTGGAGCAGAGGTGTGAAGAGGCAGGAGAAGAGGTTCAGTAGGGGCAAGACTTGGAGCTGTGGGTGGAGTCAGATATGCCCCAGATAGAGGGAAAATTGGTGCCTATGAAGGAGAGATGCTTATTTGTAACCAACTGTTAGGTATATTACCTTTACTAAGTGTAATAAGTGAGAGCAGGCTATCCATCATCTCTTCAGTAGCATCCTCTTGGCTGTTTGTTTGATACTGCTAGCATTTATTGTTAAATGAACCAAACATCTCAAATCCCTTAGTATGTCTGTATAAAACTGAAAAGTAGTACTTCGTGGTTTTGTGTTAATTTTCAACCCTTATGTTAAATCCACACACACACTATTTCATTAGCCTGTGTTTATAACCAGTTATTGTAACTGAGTACCTACTTTTAAAGCCACTCGTCCAACAGTATTGAAATATATTTTTGTTGTTGAAATCTAGCTGCTGATTTGACTGGAGACAAATCCACCTCTGCGTCAATTTGGCCATAAGGTTATTTGTTGTCAGCATGAAAGCTCTCATACATCCTTGACTCCAGAATCCATCTGATGCCTTAGTCTTTGGAAAGGAAGTTCATTCTTCTTGACTATAGCAACAACAGTCTGAAAGCTCTCTCTACTGAGCATGTAAGGTCTTGTTGACTCTGCTAATTATCAGCAATATTAAAAATTACTAGAGAATGTATGAGAAAATAATTTTAATTATCCTTCATGGGGAATGGTTTCTGTTCCTTTTAGCTTATATTTTATTCCCTGCTGCTTCTGTGTCAACAAGGCAACTTGTTTATCTCCTCAAAGCTGTTATATAGATGGACCTTTGCATTTCTGGGCCTCTTAAAATTACCCTGCTTGTTGGCCAAAAGCTAACTTATCCTCCTGCAAGGAAACAGTTTTTTGGGGAGCAGAGGTGGATTTTGATTTTATTTTATTTGTTTTTACTTCTCTGTTTCTTTTTCTTTTTTTCATTGTTTCGTCTTTGAGCCGATCATGCCCTTACACGCATTGAACACTTTCTCTCCTCTTTCATCTCAGCTATGACAGGATAGCATGTTTAGGGTTACTCCAGTGTTTGGGGACATGAGATGGAAACCACACTTCCCTCACTGAAGAGGAGCTTCATTTCATCCTTTTCCATTTATCTCAGTTCCCTGCATGTGGCAGGTAGCCACTTTTGACACTAAGTGAAGATGTCCTTTGAGAAGAAGCCACCAGATCTTTATCAGGAGTCTGCTGTGTGTGAATCAGTGGAGCCATTTTAGACAGTGACAGAAGAGTGATGCTACTTTACCCAGCCAGGCTTTCGGGCCCTTGTATCAAGGGTACCCTATTTTAGTTAATTACTCTTGAACACTCTAACTGTTTTTAATTACTCATCCTTCCTTAGTACAGTTTAGTCATGATCACCACCATGGTTAAAATTCCCCCTAAAACTAAAACCAGTTAAGGGCAAAATTCAGTCTTTATGCATCTCCATTCATTTCAGTCATTTACAGCAGGGCTGAATCTAGCCCTGAGTCAAACATAACAAGGCTTATGTGCAAATAGCGATACTGGTCCTCTATGTAATTAATGCAGCAGATTATAACATCATTTTATTTTAATGATAGAATATTGTTTTAAATTGAGACTTTAGAAGCAATTGTACTAATACACATGTGTTAAATTTGTATGATCTCTGCAATCAGGGACAAATGCACATCCTAGCACCTTCCCTGAGAATCTTGGCTAGGGAGATTGACTGGGGGAAAATGGGAAAAAATATTTTTACTGAATTCTACAATGTTGGGGGTGGGAGAGAGGAGGGAGGGACAGGATCTGTGTAGCTGCTGGTCCTCCATCTCTACACCTGCCTTACTACTAACCTTTCTGTATAGAGATACACTGGGATCCTTAGTGGACCTGGACTGCAAATCAGCACCACATGTACACTCCACATCTTGCTCTCTGACACGATGGAAACGATTGTTCCACTGCTTTTAGACTTTCCCTATCTGCTGAAGTGGAGAGCAGGATTTGACCCTAAGGGTGTGTCTATACTACACCGCTCTGTCAACAGAGATATGTAGATTAGGCACAATGAAATTGCTAATGAAGCCGGGATTTAAATATCTCGCGGTTCATTAGCATAAACATAGCCACTGCTTTTTTTTTTTCTAAATGGAATTTTTTTGAAAAAAAACCCAGCAGTTTGGACACGGATCTGTCGAAAATAAATCCTTTTTCGCCAGCTCCTGCAAACATCATTTTTTGAAGAATACAGGATCTGTCGAAAAAGGGTTTATTTTTGACAGATCCGCGTCCAGAATACTGCTGTTGTTTTTTTTCTTCGAAGGGTTTATTTTTGACACATCCGCGTCCAGAATACTGCTGTTGGTTTTTTTCTTCAAAAAACTCCATTTCAAGAAAAAGCGGTGGCCATGTTTATGCTAATGAAGCACAGGATATTTAAATCCCGGCTTCATTAGCAATTTCAATGTGCTTCATTTGCATCCCTCTGTCGACAGAGCGATGCAGTCTAGATATAGCTCAAGTGAATTTGTCATTCATTTTATCTTTCTCATTTTATTGTTAGTGAAAAGGTGGCTGCACAACTTCTTTTCCATCAAGTGAATTTGTCATTCATTTTATCTTTCTCATTTTATTTTTAGGTAAAAGGTGGCTGCACCTTCCAGTGTGTGCAGGCTACTGGTTCATGGCACTTTCAACATGTGTAATGAATAGAGCTAGTCAGATGTCCAGATGAGCATGTTGATTTTTGCCAAAATTTTGTTCTGATACAATCAAAATGCTTCATTTTGATAAGGTCAAAACATCTCATTTTACCTGTTCCATTTCAACTTTTTTGTTTTATATAAGAATTTATCATAGAAAATAATTGCCAAAGCAATACCAATGAAACAATATTTTTGTACTTAATTGAAATGATAGTTTGTTATATTGATATCACAACAGAGTTCACATTTTCTTGGTTGACAAGTCCTAAATGAAATGTATTTTCTGATTATTTGCTGGGAAATACAGTATAATATCACTACCACTACTCAGTTTGACATCATCATTATTATTATTATTGTGCTTAGGAAAGACCCAGGATTGGGGTCTTGTCTATATTAGAAAGAGTTTGCTGGTACAGGTGCACCAACAAGCCCTCCTACTGGAGACAGAACTTATACAGACAGAAGTGTTTTTGCTTGTATGCCTCATACTCATTCCCTGAGCAAAATAAACCATACCAACAAAAGCTTTATTATGCCACTATAACTGCTTCTGCACTAGAGCTTGTGCTGGCATAGCTGTGCCAGTAAAAAACCCACACTTCTGACATAACCACCAATTTTTAAAAAAAAACATGGGCCAGGCCTGGGTAGCAGGCATTCCTAGACCTCATTCCTCAAAGTGCTTAAATTATTTGCTCAAGAATGTTCAGAACTAAGATCAGGCATAGTTTCTGTGAGACCAGTACTGCTTCTTGCTAGCATGTGTATCTAACTCTGAGCTAAAACCAGGATAGAGATTACAGCTCCCATCTTTCCCCTGCTGTTCTGAGACCCTCTGCTTCTGTTCTCACACAGGTCAATGGAAGTCTTGCTCTTGACTTAAGCAGGAAGAGAAGAGGAGACAGTTTATAGCCATGTTAACTATAAAACCTATAAAAATGTGACCGTGAATAAAAATGACTAGAAATAATTGCAAACTCTAATGTGGATAGGGGCCAGTGTACAACAGCTGGATCTGGGGCAAGTATAGAAGCTGTTCTTCATATGCCCATCTCAAGCAAGCACTGTAATAATATTCCCTTGCTTTCAGCAACTGATCCACAACATTTAAAAATACATCTCTCTTCTGCAGTTTAATTTGTCATTTAATTCAATCAAAGAGCTCGAGGGCCTATTTTTTGTTTTGTGTGTGTAATTTCCTGAGCACTGAGAACATGCATTTTCTGTTTTACATCATCTCTTCTTGTGTTATTGTTAAATATTTTAAGTTCATGCCAAAGGCACTGTTATTTTAAGGGAATGTTTAATAAATTATTGATGCATATTTGAGTCTACAGATAAGTAATTAAGGATATACGTTCATTAAGGTTTTTGCTTTGGTTACATGCACAACAAATTCTGTATAGATACTCTAATATATAGGCACTGTATTTGAATATGCTTTGTAATACTTTCAGGCGATTGTGCTAAAAATTGCTGATTTAATAAACAGTTACAAAATACCTGTTCTTTTGGTGGTTAAATCTTTTTCTGAGAGGAAAAATCAATTAGAGGAAGTTTGGTCTATTCATTTAGATCATATATCTCTGAATTACTACTTCCTTCTATGCTATGGAGTAGTCTATTACAAGCCACTTAATCTCTGTTCCTCAGTTCACTTCTCTGTAAATACAGTAGACTTCCGATAATACAGAACTTTTGGGACCTAGGTGGTGTCGGAATATCGGATATGCCGGACTATCAGAAGGTACTTTAGGATGGTTATATATATGTATATATATATATATGCAGTATGTACTGTATATAAAGTGTTTTAACCCTTTTTATTGTAGCACAAGCACTGTCCAGCATCATACGATGTCAGTGGCAGACTGACTCGGTCCCATCTGGTTTCGCTCGGTTCAGCTGCTGCCGCTGCTTCCTTGTGACTCGTTTTTTGCCGAAGCTCACTCACTAGGCTCTTGCCGTTTTGATGGTGGACTATTAGGAGTGTCGTACAATTAGATGCCGGACTATTGGAGTTTTACTGTTGGTCACATTGCCTGCCTTCCAGGTGCTGTGAAGACAGCCAATGTGAGGCTCTGCCTATTCCATGGACCTAGAATTTGCTGCAGAATCCAGTGCCTACTCCGCAGCTGTGCTCTTTTAACTTGTTTGATATTTTTAAAATCTATTTCTAGCTCTTGTGGTTGAAAATAATTTTCCAAATGTGAAGTGAGTATAAATCAATGTCATGATGTCTTCCTGTGTCTATAAACAGGCTGAAACAACTTTCTTTGAAATGCAATTCATTAATTTTCATGGGAATATTAATCCTGAAATCTAACATTAGGTTAGTTTAAATGGTAATTTAGCAGAAAATATTCAGGTAATAATCTTACTCCACAGTCCCAAATAATTTTCCTTACCTTTCCAGGTTCCAAAACATCCATTTCCCTAGCTCATCTGCCAAAACTTCCAACCTGTTTCTTAACTTTGGGAATGTATTGAAAGCCTTGTCAGTTAGAAAAAACCAGAAATTTCATTAACAAATAATTAACATATTAAAATTAATGGATCATTTATCTATTTAAGTGAAAAATGTTTTTTTTTATTTATTTGAATCTACTCCAGAAATTCCAGTCTGCCACATCATAGTGCTAGAAGAAAGAGGTACCCTTTTTGCACTCTGTCAGTCTAGGTTACTTAACAAAAGGTTTTTGAGCAAAGCTATAAACATTTGTAGGACGGACACCTGTCAGGGATAGTTTAGGTTTACTTGATCCTGTCTCAGTGTAGGAGGATGGACTTCTTGAGGTCCCAGCCCTTCATGTCTATGATTCTACAATATAAACCTCTGATATGAGCGAGGCATAAGGCTAAAGACAAATTTCCTTCACTCATTCAAGTATGTCCTGGAGTGATATAGTGCTATTGAAGTTTGACCGCTTCATCAGGATTGTTTCTTCAAACGGTCCAAAAGCCCACTTTGAGAGGAAATTATTATTATTTCTCCTGGGATAGCACCCTACATACTTTACAACTGTAGTTATATGGCTGCTGAACTGTAAAATGCAATATCATTTGCTTGCTACCAGAAATGATCAATGCAAGATGCGCATCTGCCTTCTCTGGGAATACTCCAGATTTACAGTGGAGTAACGTAGTAGGATTTGGCCCATGGAGACAAATGACTCCCTCCTCCCACAATTTGCTGTGGTCAGAGGCAAAACCTGATTTCTCTGCAATGGGAGCAGCTGGGCCTGGCAGACCTTTATAGAGGTGATTAATTTTTAAAGGGTGACTTGTATATGAAATGAACAAAATTCCATTTCCTTTAACAATACATGCCATATCCCACATTTACCATAAGATTTGCTTCATTAGTTTAAATATGAATCACCGTAGGCCTCCCTTTCTTCAGATGTTGTTCAGGAGTTGACGTGTGTGTGTGTGTGTGTGTGTGTGTGTAGTTCCTCTTACTGTGATGATGTGCGTTTAAAATAGCTTTATTTATTACTACTGTGTATATTTCTATAAACATTGTTGCTCATTGTCCAATCCAATGATTTTAAACAGCGTCAATTAAGACATTCAAGATCTGTAGTGCCCCTAGTGCCCATAGTGTTAACCTTCAGCTATAAAAGCAGAAACTTTGTTCCTTATATTTTATCATTAATGATTAACTCGCGTTTTATGGAAGTGATTATACATATCATAAAAAATCCCTGCCTTTCTATGGTTCATGTGTCATGCTCTGGAGGTTTCCTGAACTGTGACACAGAACTAAGAAAAAAAATATTTTCAATTAAACTAGGATCTCAAATCGATTCCCCATAGAGAAAGGTGTGGACATAAAGATCCAGTTCACCCTTCGTCTGTGATTTGCTATTATTCAAGATAATATTTAAGATAGTTCAGTACAAAGCTAACTGCAGATTTACAAAGGGGTCTCTCTAAACTAGCTGACTGAGCACCAGAAGGGCAGATAAATTCATTGTTAATAAATAATGCACATTGGAAAAAATAATCTCAGCTATAAGTACAAAGTGATGGTGTCTCTGTTAGTTGTTACCAAAGGAGAAAGTGATGTTGGAGTCACTATGAATATTACCCTAATAATATCTGTTCAGTGTGCAGTGGCAGTCAAAAAAGCTAATAAGATTTGGAACCATTAGGAAACATATAAAACAGTAAACATGATAACGCCACTATAGGGCATCCCTGCTATACGTCCAAGATACCTTCCAAAATATGGAAGTATAGCAAAACAACATAAAGTGGGGATTTTTTTCCCCCTACAGCTGACTTCTGTTTGGATGAATTGGGGTTGGGTTTTTTTGGTTTTGGGGCCGAGGAAGAGGGAGGTAGGGGGGATGGGAGGACTTCTAATGCATCAATTCCTACAAGCATTAACAACA